TACCTCTCTGACAACACCTAGTTACAGAGTGTCCTTTAGGGAGAGGTGTCCTCTTACTGGAGAGTTGCTACAGTAGAACTACCTCTCTGACAACACCTAGTTACAGAGTGTCCTTTAGGGAGTCCGGGAGTCAGACCAAGGTGGACCTGACAGACACCAGACGGCCCCTGACAGAGTCCCAGAGGCTTAAGTTCACCAAGGAGATCAAGTTGCTACAGTAGAACTACCTCTCTGTAAAGGACAACACCTAGTTACAGAGTGTCCTTTAGGGAGAGGTGTCCTCTTACTGGAGAGTTGCTACAGTAGAACTACCTCTCTGACAACACCTAGTTACAGAGTGTCCTTTAGGGAGAGATGTCCTCTTACTGGAGAGTTGCTACAGTAGAACTACCTCTCTGACAACACCTAGTTACAGAGTGTCCTTTAGGGAGAGGTGTCCTCTTACTGGAGAGTTGCTACAGTAGAACTACCTCTCTGACAACACCTAGTTACAGAGTGTTCTTTAGGGAGAGATGTCCTCTTACTGGAGAGTTGCTACAGTAGAACTACCTCTCTGACAACACCTAGTTACAGAGTGTCCTTTAGATAGAGGTGTCCTCTTACTGGAGAGTTGCTACAGTAGAACTACCTCTCTGTAAAGGACAACATGCTCCAGAACACATTTTGGCTTGCATTAGATGCACTAAACAGGCCCTTTGGGGAAGGCCGCTGCTCATCATAAAACAGCTCGAGGAGCATGAACTCATGGAATTCGTGTAATCTTTACACAAGAGGATAAGAAACAACAACAACAGACAACACCTAGTTACAGTGCTATAGTGTCCTTTAGGTAGAGGTGTCCTCTCACTGTAGAGTTGCTACAGTAGAACTACCTCTCTGTAAAGGACAACACCTAGTTACAGAGTGTCCTTCAGGGAGAGGTGACCTCTTACTGGAGAGTTGCTACAGTAGAACTACCTCTCTGTAAAAGACAACACCTAGTTACAGAGTGTCCTTCAGGGAGAGGTGTTCTCTTACTGGAGAGTTGCTACAGTAGAACTACCTCTCTGACAACACCTAGTTACAGAGTGTCCTTCAGGGAGAGGTGACCTCTTACTGGAGAGTTGCTACAGTAGAACTACCTCTCTGTAAAGGACAACACCTAGTTACAGAGTGTCCTTCAGGGAGAGGTGTTCTCTTACTGGAGAGTTGCTACAGTAGAACTACCTCTCTGTAAAGGACAACACCTAGTTACAGAGTGTCCTTCAGGGAGAGGTGTTCTCTTACTGGAGAGTTGCTACAGTAGAACTACCTCTCTGTAAAGGACAACACCTAGTTACAGAGTGTCCTTCAGGGAGAGGTGTTCTCTTACTGGAGAGTTGCTACAGTAGAACTACCTCTCTGTAAAGGACAACACCTAGTTACAGAGTGTCCTTTAGGGAGAGATGACCTCTTACTGGAGAGTTGCTACAGTAGAACTACCTCTCTGTAAAGGACAACACCTAGTTACATGTCGGCTATGCATGTCCTCAATACGTTACTAATCTGGCTGAAATTTTACCAGTATATATAGTTGAATCTGGAAAAGCCTATAGTCAAATATTCAAGTCTCTATCTCAAATATCTTTGGAGGTATTTACAAATATGTTAATTTCACTCGCAACCAGCACCTAACTGCCAAAACTGAATGAAATACATCAAGAATGTGTGCAGTGACTGAAGTCGAAGAAAGGTTTCGGTTTTGGCAGGAAGCCTACTGCATGCATCAGGACCTCGCAAGTTAAGGAAGCCTTGTCTCTGCAACAGGTGTTGTCCTTCACAGAGAGGTAGTTCTACTGTAGTAACTCTCCTGTAAGAGGACACCTCTCCCTAAAGGACACTCTGTTACTAGTTGTTGTCAGAGAGGTAGTTCTACTGTAGCAACTCTCCAGTAAGAGGACACCTCTCCCTAAAGGACACTTTGTAACTAGGTGTTGTCAGAGAGGTAGTTCTACTGTAGTAACTCTCCAGTAAGAGGACATCTCTCCCTAAAGAATACTCTGTAACTAGGTGTTGTCAGAGAGGTAGTTCTACTGTAGCAACTCTCCAGTAAGAGGACATCTCTCCCTAAAGGACACTCTGTTACTAGATGTTGTCAGAGAGGTAGTTCTACTGTAGCAACTCTCCAGTAAGAGGACATCTCTCCCTAAAGGACACTCTCTAACTAGGTGTTGTCAGAGAGGTAGTTCTATTGTAGCAACTCTCCAGTAAGAGGACACCTCTCCCTAAAGGACACTCTGTAACTAGGTGTTATCCTTTACAGTGAGGTTTTGCTGTATTATTTTGCAGAGACAATGTGCTTTAAGGTGAGCTTTGACCTACCAGGAATATATTACCTCAAGTTATCTCTGTGTTCCCCACAGGTTTCCCCTACAGCTGGAGAACGGACAGACAATGGAGTGCAGTGTGGCTAAGTACTTCCTGGACAAGTACAAGATGAGGCTAAGGTTCCCCCACCTCCCTTGTCTGCAAGTTGGACAGGAGCACAAGCACACCTACCTTCCTCTCGAAGTAAACAACTTTTTGATAAGGCACAATTTGGATTATAGATTATAAACACAAGGTAATAAGACCAAATCCAAATAAATAAATAGTGTGTGACATTTCAGTAACAGTCTGAACTTTTGTCTGAAGATGGTAACAACGCTGTTACCGAAACGGCACACACTATTTATTTATTTGGATTTGGTCTTATTACCTTGTGTTCATAACCAACTTTTTCTTTTCCTTCTTTTATGCAAATGAAATTTTTTCTTTTTGCCTAAAGGAAGAAACCTCTCCTGTCAAAATAGATGCCAAAAACTATCTTCCATCTAATGAATAAGCAATAGAAATGTCTTAGCCACTATGTAAGCTAAAGACTTCTTTGGCAACACAAAAGATAATAAGACCCAATCCAAATACATAAATTGTATGTGACGTTTTGTTAACAGCAGTGTTATATCATCAGACAAAAACAGTAAGTACTGCAAGTGGATAGTTGCTGATTGCTTAGTTTTGTGTCTATTTTGACAGGGGAGGTAACATTTTATTTTACTTTTATCACCATGTAAAATTTATAGGGACTATAGCAACACTCATACCACAATAAATACTAAAAGTTAATGATTAGGTACATTTTGGTACCACTTAATAACAGTACTAACTATTTAAAAGTATGCTATGATATTTTTTGCTCCTTCAGTACTTTTGCATGATGATGGTAACAACACTGTTACCGAAACATCACACACTATTTATTTATTTGGATTTTGGTCTTATTACCTTGTAAAATATAAACCTAATGAGCTTGTTACATAGAAGTGCTGCTCTAAAGGATGAACTAGTTTCTAATGGGTTAGATGGAGGGGTCTTAGGATGCCTGAAGTGAGAGAAGATGTTTTTGGGATCTATTGGTGACTGTTACTATTTCTATCTTATTTTTAGAAATGTTTAGAAAATTTGAACAATGAAGAGAGTCAATTACTATCCCACCATGTTGACCTAGAGGTTGTTGTTGTTTCCGATCCTCTTGGGCAAAGATTACACAAATTCAATGAGTCCATGCTCCTCTAGCTGTTGTTGTTGTTTCTTATCCCCTTGTGTAAAGATTACACAAATTCAATGAGTTCATGCTCCTCTAGCTGTTGTTGTTGTTTCTTATCCCCTTGTGTAAAGATTACACAAATTCCATGAGTCCATACTCCTCGAGCTGTTGTTGTTGTTTCTTATCCCCTTGTGTAAAGATTACACAAATTCCATGAGTCCATACTCATCGAGCTGTTTGATGATAAGCAGTGGTCTCTCCCAAATGTCATGATGTACTTGGGATAAGTAGCACAATCACCATCCAAGTTGTGCCCTATTATAGTACAAGTTTTTGCAACCCCATGATTATCATGGCTTGTGTACAAATGTATATGTAGTTAGGAATATTAATGAGTACTTGGCAAATGAAAACACTTTGACGTAAATGTTTCTTCACACATAAATCAAACTTCTACTGTCCTTACTGCAATGAAAAAATATTGGGAGGGTTTGGTTTATCAGTGGTGAACCCCCGCAGTAAGGACAGTAGAAGTTTGATTGTGGTCTCCATGGAAAGAGGGATGCCATTGCCCCGTTAGTCAGCCACATTTCAGAGTTCCCTGTTCAAGGTTACCGTATTGGCTCGGGGCTCACAACACCGTACTACAGGGCAGTCCCTTACTTGTGCTGCTTCTCCGCCCGCCACGTAAAGGAGGACTTCTGGGCAGGAGTAGAAGTTTGATATATGTGTTGTTGTTGTTGTCGTGTCCAATGAAGAGGCTCAGATGTCTCCATGCATCTCTATCACAGCAGTCGCAATGTCCTCTATCTTGGGTGTGTAAAGTTCTGGGTCCATGTCAATTTTCTGCAAGGCTGCGGCCATTGCTGGACATGAGAATATGTGGGTAGATGTTAGTTCCACACCAGGACAGTTGTTACATGTTCTATAGGTTCTTGTGCCATCTGGATGTATTGTCATTCCTTTATAATGTTTCGTTCTAAGTTTTGTTATAGTTTTTGTCAGTTTCCTCTCAGAGTTTATTTCACATATTTGATCTTTTCTTATTTTTTGTTTGATTATCTGTGTGAAACATGTGTGAAAGAGAGAAACATTCACGTCTTAAGTGATTTCATTAGCTATATACAGATGGTGTATTATTGCCTTATATTAATGATATAATTTACACAGATGTAGAATGGCTGTGGTGTGACAGGTATGTAACATTGTAGCAGGACAGAGGTGCATCAAGAAACTCACAGATGCCCAGACTTCCAGCATGATCAGGGTAAGTTGTTTCATTGCTGCTCACTACAAATGCTCTCTACACATTTTGTATTAAAATTTACAACAATTTATTTTTCAAAATTTTTTTCTACAAGTAAATATGACCTAATCCAAATAAATTAATAGTGTGTGATGTTTGTAATGTTTGTAGACAAAAGTACTGAACGAAGATGGTAACAGTGTTGTTACCGAAATATCACACACTACACCTATCCCCCGATTTACACGGTAGATACGTTCCTGAGAAAAACGTGTAAATCGGGGGATAGGTGTACACAGAAATAAAAATAAAATGCATTGGCAGGTTAAAATATGTAGTCAGCACATAAGCTTGGGATTCCTCGTGAGATGTGTACACAGCGCATGTGTTCAATCACAGTAGCATTTAGTATAGTGCGATAAAAAAAAAAAAAAAAACTTATTTGGAAAACCATGTAAAAGCGAAAACGTGTAAAAAAAGTACCGTGTAAATCGGGGGATAGGTGTATTTATTTATTTGGATTTTGGTCTTATTACCTTGTGTTTATAATCTATAATTCCTGCTTTTCACATGTGTAGACATATGGTGCACTTACAGTAAAAGCAGTCGCCAACTTCTACCCACCATGATTATCATGGCCTGTACCACTTGTACTAGGGATAAGCCAAAAAAAATATATATGTCATAATATATGCTCTTCCAGGAATAATAAAGTAAACCTACAGTCAACGAGAGAGAGACGTCGATAGAACGCAGCTAAAGTACGGTCATCTGGGCCACTGGCCACATTCCAAGGGGCGACCGCAGGGCTTTTCTTGGAACCCTGCAGGACTATTTTTAGATAGTCGGGGGGTGGTGGCCACAACAAACGGTCGTTCAGCGGGAAGCTCCTCGCGCCCCGTCTCTCTCGCTGGCTGCCTGGGTTATTTCCTCTACCAACTCGTTGTGTGATTATTTCTCTCCTCACCACATTATTATCACTATATTGCCACATATATATAATTCAAAATGTAACTTACCATTAAGGAGAGAAATTTTGTTTTATGTGCAAAAGAAATATTTGTGCTTAAATGCTTTCATTTCCTATATATATAGCTTATATGTCTCTTGTGTTTTTCAGGCTGCAGCCAAATCTGCCCCAGATAGGAAGATGGAAATAACCAGTTTGGTAGGTGGCTGATACTCTTTCTTCTACTGCCATGTATTACTATGTACTTGCCGTCTGTTCCTCATGTCAGAGGTGGTCATTTCTTTTGGAGCTAAGTCAGTGGCCTGCCACTGAGTAGTGCTCCCAGTCTTAATGACAAAGGCATTCTACTTCACCCAGTCATGATGGTTGTCAAACAGACACCATCAAGGGTCACAACTTGATACCCTGATATGTTTGAGTGGAGATAAGAAAGAAGAAGAAGACTATGTACCTGCCATTTCATTTTGTATCACGCTGCTTCATTTTAACCACCAAATAACTCTTAGGCATAAGCAAAATTATCCTTTATTGCCAAGTTAACACTACAATAGAAAACATGCCGTCTGTTGGTTTTCGACCGCTACGGCTCGGGTTTGATTCCCGCATTGGGCACTTTTTTTTCTGATAAAAAAAAAAAAATACTCCAATGGCCCCTGATTCTTGCAAAAGTCCAACCCCACCACCGATTTCAAGTAACCAAACGGTGCTCTGACACATTTATAAGTGCTAAAGTCGAACTACTTTTCACATGTGTAGACATGTGGTGTACTTACAGTTAAAGCAGTCACCTACTTTTGCCCACCATGATTATCATGGTCTGTACCACGTGTACTAGGGATGAGAAAAAAAAAAACATGGCGTCTAAATTAACAAGACTACCTATCTCTGGACTGACTACACGTTCTATTCATAGCACCAATAAGTCAACTTGTAACTATGCAAATGGTGCTTCAACAAAGAACTAATATTCAAAAACAACACCATTTTCCAATGTCAAGCTCAACCTTTTTGGAATGCCGTTTCATTCTCTTCTGACCAATTTCACTTTACATCCTCATTGGAGACTCTATGGAAAAAGAGGATTCTTTTGATATTTTATCATTTTTTATTATAAAATGAAATGTACTTTTTTTAAAAAATAATCATTCGCCCTCTGTGAATTATATTTAATAAAATTACAATAAAGCATTCAGGGCTAAGTATCTTGTACAATTACAAGGTAATAAGATACCAAATCGATATTATTGAAATGTTTGTGATGTTTTGGTAAAAGTGTTGTTACCATCATCAGACAATTTGTCTGATGAGATGCTAACAACGCTGTAACCAAAATGTCACAAACATTTCAAAAATATGGATTTGGTTTTATTTTCTGTGTTGTTTCTTATCTCCCTGTGCAAAAGATTACACAAATTCTATAATTCCATATTCCTTGAGCTCTTTGATTATAAGCAGCGGCCTCTCCCAAAGATCCTGTTTAGTGCATCTAACGCAAGCCAAAAATGGGTTCTGGAGCTGCAGCTTTGGGCAGTTGGGGTAGATTTTGTTGTTATTTTCTATCTTCAATGGCTTGAAATGGCCTGTTCTAAATCTTGTTAGTGTTACAAAAAATAAATAAATAAATAGGATGGTCAGTAGAAGGGTGGTCTAAACCATTGGTTTTCGATCACTAAGACCCAGGATCGAATCCTGCCTTAGGTACTTTTTTCTAATTAAAAAATGCTCCAATTTGGCCTCCGATTCTTGTAAAAGTCTAACCCTACCAGCAAGAGCAAGTAACCAAACAGGGCTCTGGCACATTTATAAGTGCAAAGTTGAACTGCTTTTTACAAGTGTAAACATGTGGTGCACTTACAGCAAAAACAGTCTCTTACTTCTACCCACAATGATTATCATGGCCTGTACCACATGTACTAGAGATAAGCAAAAGAAAAAAAAAACATGTCCTATTTAGAGTGAGGAAGATTTTTTTCCATCATCAATTTGCTTGAAATAGCCTGTTCTGTTGTTGTTGTTTCTTATCCCCTTGAGCAAAAATTACAAAAATTCAATGAGTTCATGCTTCTTTAGATGTTTGATGATAAGCAGCGGCCTCTCCCAAAGGTCCTGTTTAGTGTATCTAATGCAAGCCAGAATGGCTTATTCTAAATCTTTGTTGGCCAGAGGAAATCACGTGACCTTCGCCAGCGGGAGAAATCACATGATGGCCACCTTGGCTCGCATGCGCATAAAAAGAATTGATATAATCACTAACGCGTAGGTGTGCTAATGTGTACATAAGTTCTTTTATCTCGCCCTAGTTTTTTTTTGGCTGGCTATTTTTATCACCTCCCTTCTCACTTCTGGGCTTGTCTCTACACGTTAGCTGTGTTTTTATCTCCTTTGTCTTGCGATTTCCTTTTTTTATTTTTAATTTTTTAAAAATGGCTTCCGGTTCAGAATGCTCTGCATTTTCTGAGGACACTGAAGTTTATTCTTTGTCTTCTGAGTTTGAAGAAATTGTTGAAGACACTTTTGAAGATGAATTTTCTGATGAAGAAGTGGATGAAAACCAGCCAAGTCCTTGGGTAAGAGTTTATACTCCATTTTCCACATCCAAAACATTGACTTTTGGAGAAGTTTGTGGCCCACAGCACCTTCTCCCCTCTATTATCCGGCCTATTGAATACTTTTTGTTATTCATAACAATGAATTTGATGAAGGAAATTGTGGCTTTTACCAATAAATGTGCCCAAACTTTATTGGCAAGCAATAGGGACAAATTGCCTCCATTTTCTAGGAAGCTGGCCTGGAAGGACACTACCTTGGATGAGATGATGGCCTTTATTGGAGTCATCTTCAATATGGGCAATGTGAAGAAGAACCAAATCAGGGACTATTGGAGCAAGAATGAACTTTTAGAGACGCCCTGGTTTGGTAAAGTTATGTCTAGAGGGAGATTTGAGTTGCTCTACAGCTGCTTTTCTCTGATTGATGACTTCAACCTGGTTCCAAGTTCTCATCCTGATTACAACCCAACTGCAAGATTTGAGAAGCTCATAGAGCATGTGAACAACAAGTTTTTATATTATTATAAGCCTACTCAAAATCTTACAGTTGATGAGAGCTTGGTGTGCCTAAAAAAACGAACTCGTCTTAGACAATATATGCCCCAAAAGCACCATGGTCGATTTGGAGTCAAACTGTGGATGCTTTGTGAATCTAAAACTGGCTATTGTCTGAGAATGAAGCCATATAAAGGGAAATTATCTCCAATTATCAAGTCCCTTTCCTATGATGTTCCAATGAATCTGCTCCAGGAATCCAGTCTACTTGGAAAAGGTTATCATTTGATAACTGACAACTTTTTCACCAGCATCAACCTAGCCAAGGACTTACTGGACAGTCATACTTATTTGACTGGTACTATAAGAACTAATAGGAAGGGACTTCCTAAAACCTTAACAAGTGCAAAATTAGGTGTGGATGAATCCCTTTATATGGTAAATAATAATCTACTGGCCCTGGCTTACAAAGAAAAGAAGAGCAAACCTCCAGTGAAGTTTCTCTCAACATTTTGTGATGCTTCTTCTGGCAAAAAGAAGGTGTCAGACCAAAGAGACTACCCACAGATGAAAATCTGCTATGATAGCTACATGGGAGGGGTAGATCTCAATGATCAAATGTTGTATACATATATGGATGAAAGAAAAGGAAGAAAATTTTATAGAAAGGTGATCCTCAACATCTTCCACAGGGCTCTCCTAAACTCCTTCATCCTATATGAACAGCATACCAAAGACAACCCCAAGCTTTCTAGAAGGGCTTTTAACTATTCAGTAATAAATGGATTAGTTAAAAATCACTTGAAACCTCCAGTTCTACTTCAACAAGCCAGGAAGTACTCGAAAAACTTCCAGAAAAGAGAGAGAGTAGATGTGTGGAGTGTACAAAAGAAGGCCTGAAGCGGAGGTCTAGAACCATATGTTCAAAGTGCAAGAGAGGCTTGCATCCAGTCTGTGCTTTTAAACACAAGTGTTAGCTTTGTAAATAGCCTTGTATATATCTAAAATTCCTTTTTATATTTGTGAAACCTTATTTTGAAAAATTCAAGTCGATTATTCAATTAATTATAATTAACCCCCAATTAAAAAATTAAATACTCATTTCAGTATAATAAAATCAGAGTGTTGTGTTGAGAGAGGAGTCTGGATTATATTGCACTTTACAGAACACTTCTATATATCATATTTATTTATTTATAACATTTTTAACTTAACAACTACTTGATCATCAGTTTAGGCTTAATTAGTGTGGTCCTGATAGTGATAGTTAGCATTCGGGCCCTAGAGCTTAAAGGGTTAAAGGAAGCTTTCGAGCAAGCCCTTCTTCAGCTAACCTAAGTTAATGTTGTGACCTTTTGTTGTTGTTGAGTCCAACTGTGTTAAGTGCAGGCCCAACGAGCCAATTTCAACAGTGATCCCTACGTGAGGGAGTTTGGTCTCAACATCAGTAACTCCCTGATGGAGGTCCACGGCAGGATTCTCCAACCGCCCAAACTTCAATATGGAGGCACAGTAAGTTTGCTACCTGGTGTCCATTCTTTATTGAACACCCAGGCAAGGGCAACAGGATTTTTATACAGTATACCAACCTCTCTGTAAAGGCCTACACCTACACTCATGGACAAAAGGAAATGGCAAGTCTTTGATGTCGGCAGTCATCCTATTATTGTCTTTTTTTTTTTTTTCTAAAGGAGACAGAGGCAATTTTGTTCACACTTAGTCATCTCGGGTATCTGCTAATATCTTTCAGTTATTGTCTCAATATCCAGATATACATGCTGAAAAGGTACAACTTCATTAAGTTTTATCCATGAGTGTATATTGGTTATCTCGTGTGTCTTCAATAAAGGTCACTGTAATATCTTGCAGAGTTATTGTCTCAATCCCGATATACATGCTGAAAAGGTACAACTTCCTTAAGTTTTGTCCATGAGTGTATATTGGTTATCTTGTGTGTCTTCAATAAAGGTCACTGTTATATCTTTTAGAGTTATTGTCTCAATCCCGATATACATGCTGAAAAGTACAACTTCCTTAAGTTTTGTCCATGAGTGTATATTGGTTATCTCGTGTGTCTTTAATAAAGGTCACTGTAATATCTTTCAGAGTTATTGTCTCAATCCCGATATACATGCTAAAAGGTACAACTTCCTTAAGTTTTGTCCATGAGTGTATATTGGTTATCTCGTGTGTCTTCAATAAAGGTTACTGTAATATTTTTCAGAGTTATTGTCTGAATTCCGATATACATGATAAAAGGTACAACTTCCTTAAGTTTTGTCCATGAGTGTATTTGCAGTGTTCTTTGTAGAGAGGTGTGTTTTCTTACCAAAGAGTTGATAAATAGTAAACATGGTAATTTTGATGATGAAAACTGTTCTTTGTAGAGAGGTGTCCTCTAGCGCGAGTTTCTTCTCATGGAGGTTCTACTGTAGATAATAGTATTTTTTTGCCGCACTTTGTATATACGGTAGAACCTCCATGAGAGGACACTCCCACTAGAGGGCACATCTATTTCAAGGACAGTTTTCATTTTCTATATTACCATTTTTACTATTTTGACACTCTTTGGTAAGAGGAGAACTTTCCAGTAAGAGGACCCCTCTCCCTGAATACTTTAGCTCTGCAATTAGGTGTCCTCTTTATACAGGGAGGTTCTACTGTATATATACACCAATACCTCGCTTTGCGTCGTTTCGTTTTGCGTTTTTTTTTTTAAGTTGCGTCGCTGCTTAATTTTTACTGATTTTCACTGTGTGTCGTTAGATTTTCGAAGTTGCGTTGTTTTGGATTCAAGTCTTTAATTTTTTTTTTTCCTAAAATATGGCAACATCTTTGTTTTTGATTGCGCCTTCACATATTTTCACTTTGCGTCGTTTCAATTTGCGTCGTGTTTTTTTTGGAACGTAACCCTGACGCAAAGCGAGGTATGGGTGTATATAAAAAATTATATATGAAAATTAATTTTTCTTCCACCTATTTAAGAAATTATGTAAAATGGTATCTGATTATAACTCGTTTCTTATTAGTGATTTATTGTATCAGGTTTTCTCCTGTAGAGAGGCTTTCATGCCCGAAAGCTTTAGAACTAAATAAAAAAAGAAACTTATCTTTTAAACTTTTTCACTCTTTCAAAAAAAAAAATTTTTTAAAGAAAATGTTGCAAGCAGTTAATCTATTTTATATGTGGTCCTTTTATCCCATGTTACCTATCTGATCTCATGGAATGGGGTGTAGGGGTGCAGCTTTCGTGATCATGGCCTTATGATCCAGGCATACTTTGGTGAAAGTCTGACTTTGCCTGTAATTTGAGGCCGTTCCTAACATGGAAGCCTTTGCTGCTGACTCTAACATGAGTACAGACGCAGCTCCTCTGTATCCCTGGAGTGGGACCCTTGCTGAGGTCCATATAATTACCTATAATTTGCATATGTGAGTTCTCTTGGTAGAGCTGACTGCTACAGGGCGCGTACTCCCCAGGTGGTAGATAGGGGAACAACCTTCAAATATGAAGGCCAGCTGCTAAATAACTCTGATGAATAAGCAGTCATGGACCACAACAGCAGTATTGTTAGAATGTGAGGAGAAAGACCTCTTTATAAATCCCGAGTTCACAACTGATCCGTTTGATGGACCTCGGCAAGGGTTCCTCTCCAGGGATACGGAGGAGTCTGTACTCATGTTAGAGTCTGCAGCAAAGGCTTCCATGTTGGAAATGGTCGCAAATTATAGGCAAAGTCAGACTTTCACCAAATTGTGGCCTGGATCATGTGATCAATGAAAGCTGCATCCCTTCAACCCATTTCATTAGAGCATGGACTCATGGAATTTTATAATCTTTGCACAAGGGGACAGGAGAAACATGTGATGTGACAGCAGCCCAAACAGTCCATAGTACCCCACCAAGGGACCTGGGATATGCGAGGCAAGCAGTTCCACACCGGGGTTGAGATCCACACCTGGGCCATCGCCTGTTTCGCACCACCCAAGACCTGCAAGGCCGACTCCCTCAGGAGTTTTGTGGAGAACCTCAAGAGCATCTCGGAGCAGGCCGGGATGCCTATCTCCCCACACCCCTGCTTCCTGAAGTATGCCAGCGGGCCGGACCAAGTAGAACCCATGTTCCGCTATCTCAAGTCTACATACCTGGACCTCCAGCTCCTGTTGGTCATACTCCCCGGGAAGACTCCTGTCTACGGTAGGTGTGTTCTTACACCATCTACACTCCCCATCTCTCTCTCTCTTTAAAACCTTTTTCTGTTATAATATGGGCAACTCTGTGCTTCACTTCCATCAATAATTGACAATATGACCCAGAATAAGTATATTGCTACAGCGTTTTATGGTTTCCACAAGTCCATATCTCAGAAGAAGGCCAAGTGACACTCACTCCTCACTTTCTTACTGCTACTCTTTTTGTGTTGTTTTTCTTACTTCCCTCTTTCTCTTTCTTGTTTTTTCTTTTTTTTTTTTTCTTCTTTTCTTCTGTCTATATCGTTATTTCCTTTGTCTCACTGCTTTGTTCTTATGCATACCTCTGGTGAATCCTGTATAGGGTCAGTGACCCTGAATAAAGGCTTTTTTGTTGTTGTTGTTGTTGTTGTTGATGTTGTTGTTGTTATAATATGTCGTCATTAACTTTGCACCGTCACAATCGTTGAAAATTATAAATATTATTTTTTTTTTTTTTAAATAAATAACGCTACTTTTTTTCTTCTAAAATATATATACATTAGAATCTCCCTGTAAAGGACACCTAATTGCAGAGCCCTTTAGAGAGAGTTGTTAAAATAGTAAAAATGGTAATTTTGCAAATGAAAACTGTCCTTGTAGAGAGGTGTCCTCTTAAAAAATAATACAAGTTAATAAGACCCAAATAAATAAATAGTGTGTGACGTTTCAGTAACAGCATTGTTACCTAAACGTCACACAATTTTTATTTATTTAACCAGTACTTTCATCTGATGATGGTAACAACGCTGTTATCGAAACGTCACACACTATTTATTTATTTGGTGATTTGGTCTTATTACCTTGCGTTTCTAATCTATAATCCAAATTGGGCCTTATCAATTCTTTATTCACATAATTTATATAAAACAAAACTAATAGTCCATTCATCAGAGTGAATTCTACATACACATGTATGTCCTGTTGTTTCTTATCCCCTTGTGTAAAGATTACACGAATTCCATGAGTTCATGCTCCTCTAGCCATGTATGTCAGCCTACATACAGTAAGTGTGCAGGGGAGGTGAAGAGGGTGGGGGACACCCTGCTGGGCATTGTCACCCAATGTGTCTCAGCCAAGACCATCAGTAAGACCCACCTGGTCCAGGCCATCTCCAACCTCTGTCTCAAGATCAATGTCAAGCTTGGTGGCATCAACTCCATCCTGGTGCCCAACATCAGGTACCTACCTCCTTTCCTCAGTTACTGGATGTAAAAACACTCTTGGACAAAATATTTTTTTGAAGGAGACAGAAATTGTTCACACTTGGTTATCTCGTGTGTCTTCAATAAAGGTCACTGTAATATCTTTCAGAGTTATTGTCTCAATCCCGATATACATGCTGAAAGGTACAACTTCCTTAAGTTTTGTCCATGAGTGTATAATAGGTGTGAAAACATAACAGTAGGTTAAGACCAGCATCTCTTATTTTACATACCCCAAGTACACATGGTACAGTCCATTAGATAATCATGGTGGGTAGTTAGCGATTGCTTTTATTGTAAGTGCACCACATGTCTATACATGTGAAAAGCAGTTCGACTTTTGTACTTACTGGTAAGGTTAGACTTGTGCAAAATTTGGTGAGCATTAGAGGAATTTTCTTCTTCAGAAAAAAAAAAAATTCCACTTCCTTAAGTTTTGTCCATAAGTACAGTAAAACCTCTCTGTAAAGGACACTTAATTGCAGAGCCAAAGTGTCCTTTAAGGAGAGGTGTTCTCTTACCGGAGAGTTGCTAAACAGTAAAAATGGTTATTTTCCAAATGAAAACTGTCCTTTATAGAGAGGTGTCCTCTAGCGCTAGTGTCCTTTCATGGAGGTTCTACTGTATATACCATCTAGGAAGATTGTCAATCTGGTGTTTACCATTCTTCAGCAAACATTAAAAAAAAAAATCCGCACAAACGGCTCACACCAAGATGTCTTCCAGGCCCCAGGTGTT